AATGGAGCTCCACATGTTGACAGCGCCTGCTGCTGCTGCTACCGTCCCAGTTGCTGTTCGTTCTTTTACGGGTCCAAGACCCAACAGCGCTTTCTCGATCCGCACCAAGAAAGGCCAGGGCTTTGGATACCTTCTTTTGGGTAATTCGAAGCTCCATTCAATCCAAAGCGCCGTTTCTCCGGCTAGGTATTGAAAAGATTTAATCTTTGGCTTGCCCATTTGATGATTTTGTTTGTTGTGATGGGTTTTGGGCGTTTTTGGCTGTTGATTTGTTTTGGGCATTTCTTGTTTTTGAAATTGTCATTTATTTATTTATTTATTATTAACTGTATATTTTTCAGTATTTCCTTCTACCTCATGTCATGATTATATAAATTGGAGGACGTTATACTTATTTTGATTCAAGAACTTTAGGAGTTATTTTTATAAAAAATAAAATAGTGAGTGGATTTATTAGAAATTTGTCTGGCATGGTTCCCAGTTCCTTTAGAAGGATGAAATTTGACAAGAAGATTTATCAACTATGTTTTGGATGTATGATGCTCTATTGCGCATGAAGTGATGCATGCCCTTTTGTTATAAAGGGGTGTTTGGTTCAATTTCTACAAATTATAGGAAACGTTTTCCACCCAAAACATGATTTCCTTATATTTCTTTAAAAAATTATAGGAAAAGTTTTGAGAAGTCAAAAATTATCAATTTTTTTGTTTTTTGTTTGGTTCAGAACAAGAAAATGACTCGTAACTTTATAATTTATAGAAAATAGCAAGATTTTTTATAATTTGTAGAAATTGAACCAAATACTTCCTAAATTTAGCGGGTGTTTGGTACAATTTCTATAAATTATAGGAAATATTTTCCAACCAAAATATCATTTCCTTGTATTTCTTAAAAAAACTAAAGGAAAAGTTTTGAGAAGTTAAAAGAGTACCAATTTTCTTTTTTTAACTTTGCTTGTTTGGTTCAAAACAAGAAAAGGACCCATAACTTTATAGAAAATAGCAAGATTTTCTATAATTTGTAGAAATTGAACGTGTTTGGTTTAATTTCTACAAATTATAAAAAATTTTGCTATTTTCTATAAAGTTATGGGTCATTTTCTTGTTTTGAACCAAACAAGCAAAGTTAAAAAAACAAGAAAATTAATACTTTTTGACTTCTCAAAACTTTTCCTATAATTTTTTTAAAAAATACAAGGAAATCATATTTTGGGTGGAAAACATTTCCTATAATTTGTAGAAATTGAACCAAACACCCCCTAAATTTATAGAAAAATATCAATTTTATAGAAAAGTGTCAATGTGATGTCAGATTTCTGGGTGCTTTTCGTATATTTTGAGAGAAATTTAATTTTTATAAATTTTGGTACTTTTTGTACTTTATAGGAAACGTTTCTGTTAATTTTTTTGAACCAAACACAGTTTACGAAAATCTACGAAATTTTTTTAATTACAGAATTGTCATTGTCAGATATTTAGAGAACTTTTTTATAAAATTGTGCAACCAAACACCCATTTATAGAAAAGTGTCAACTTTATAGAAAAGTGTCAATGTGGTGTCAGATTTCTGTGTGATTTTTATCCATTTTGAGAGAAAATTGATTTTTGTAAATTTTGGTATTTTTTTGTACTTTACAAAAAATATTTCTGTAAATTTTTTGAACCAAACACAATTTACGAAAATCTACAGAAAATTTTTAATTACAGAATTGCCATTGTCAGACATTTTGAGAAAATTTTTCTATAAAATTGTGCAACCAAACACCCCCTAAGAGGATATGTTGTCTGAAGGGTTTTCTCATGTTCATCCTTCAAATTATCAATATTCTAAAATATGAGGTAAGTCCACAATTTGTCTAAGGGGGTGTTTGTTTCACTACTAGGCAAGAATAGGATTAGGAATCCGGTTTTTTTTTATGGATTCCTACCTATTCCATAAAAAATTTTATGGTAAGTTTGTAGATTCATGAAATCCTTTTTTTTTTTGCATTCTATGTTTGTTTCATAACATAAAAAAATAAAATCCAACTTTATAGAAACCCTTCAATTCCTAATCTCTAGTTTGGTTTGGAATGAGAATTTTTTTGGATAAACAATGTAGCAACGGCTAGTTCAATATTCAAAACAAAACACTGTAGTAACGGCTAGTACCAACGGCTAGTTCAATATTCAAATCCAAAACACTGTAGCAACGATTAGTTCAATATTCAAAACAAAACACTATAGTAACGGCTAGTGCCAACAACTATTCAATGTTCAAATCCGAAACACTGTAACAACGGCTAGTTCTAAGGCCTTGGAGGCTATAAATTTAACTTGAGGGCTTATTTTTCCAATGTATTCTTCATTCTTATCAATTTATAAATTCTCATTATTTGCAATTTGACTCCCCGGCATCAATATGATATCAGAAGAATGCCCCTAAAATTATGAAGTTTATTGCGACTGTAATCTCCGAACACCCATGAAAGTATGCAAGAATGGTAAAAATAAAAAATATGTTATTGGGGGTGTGCAAAATTCCTAAATAAAGAATACAATTTTTTTGAATGGGCTGATGAAAGAGGAGAAATAAGCAACCAAGGAAACCAATATGTTAAAGAAAATAGGTACGGAGATAAATATTTTTTGAAATCAAAGAGGATGAAGAAAGAATTGAGACTTGTCGAAAATCAACTATTAGCTTGGAAAATTTTAGCAATTTTATTAGCAATTTTTTGTATTATTTTAATTATTATAAACCACATGTCATGTACTTGTACTTGCAAAAACTATTGATATTGTAATAAAAATTGTTATTGGAATTGAGTACAAATTCTAGTTGATATTGTATGGCTCAGGAATAGATCAATTTGTCGAAATTGAATGCCTCACCTATAACTTATAGGTTTATTACAGATTACATTCTAATGATGGATTGTCTCGCCTAGACATTGTCAATTCAATGTAGGCTGCAATCTTATCATATTTTGCCTCATCTGAATATAATAAATACTGTAAGTTAGATTGCATTCTTAGTAAATGCTAATCATCATCATTGTCAAATATCAACTATGGAGCACATCATGCTCTAGCCACATGTCAACCAAATTCATGGAGCTACACAAGCTCAAAAACCGACATCAAAAAATCCAAATGTAGGAGCTACACAAGCTCCACAAACCTGATGGCAAAAATACCTAAAGCCAAAGAGCTAAACAAGCTCCACCTGACAGCCAAAACCCAAAAAGCCAAGGAGCTACACAAGCTCAAAAATCGACAGCAAAAAACCCAAACATAGGAGCTACACAAGCTCCACAAACCTGATGGCAAAAAAACCCAAAGCCAAAGAGCTAAACAAGCTCCACCTGACATCCAAAACCCCAAAGCCAAGGAGCTACACAAGCTCAAAAACCGACAGCAAAAAACCCAAAGCTACACAAGCTCCACAAACTTGATGGCAAAAAAACCCAAAACCAAAGAGCTAAACAAGCTCCACCTGACAGCTAAATGTAGGAGCAACACAAGCTCAAAATCTGAGCATAATAAACCCAAAGCAAATGAGCAACACTAGCTCCACCAACACCACTGCAGAACGAAAACTTGTTAAGAGATTATACACGTAATGAATTATCAAAAACATCACATTCTACTACTCAGGTTCCTTTCATCACATCAAGCACGAAGAAATGAATCTTAAAAAAAGGGGAAAAGTTTTATACCTTCAGCTGCCCAGGGGAAAATACTAAAATCCAAGCAACAAACCCACCGAAGCAGACAAACACACCGAAGCCAACAAACCCACTGAAACCCACAAGTTCGAGAAGGGATCACCAACAACCAAAGCCAATGAACCCACCAACACCACTGCAGAACGAAAGTTGGAAAATTAATCGAAGAACGGTTCGAGCAGAGGAGCATCGACGATTGAGAAGAGGCGGGATAAGATTAGAGAGAGAAGCTGATTCCGCCGCGAGCGGCATCGTCACAATTGCCAACCTTAACTTCGAAAAAGAAATCAAAGAGCCGCAGGAGAAGAGGCGCGAAGAAGACTGAGATGAGGCGGAAGAAGAATAGCGGGGACACCCTCCAACCAGATCTAGGGTTTTCGAAGCGGCAGAATCGGAATAAGAAAGAGGAGCACGAGATGTCAGCTTTTTGACCCAAATCCTCTCAAACAGAGAGGATTTCAGATTCCATAAAAACCACTGTTTTGACCACTTTACAGATTTCGAAATCTGTAAATTTTTTTGAACCAAACTCAAGATTAGGATTCCTTTGGAATCCTTTAGTTACGATTTTGTCACTGTCAGATCCAAATACCATTCCTTTTTCATAAAATGAGTGAAACAAACAGCCCCTAAGTCACACCAAATTTCCCCCCTAATCTAAGTCGGTCTGTGTCATTTTTAAAGGAACAGATTTTAACTGTGACTTACTTGGTGTAAGATAAATAATTTAAGGAATTTAGTTAAATTTTTTATGTTCTGGGATCTATTTTCGAATACTGATAATTAGGAGGTCGGATATCAGCAAAATCCTTTCTTCTATTTGGTATATATAACCAGTTAATGCATGATCCAAATTGCAATAAAAACATTCATGGAAATAATTTTACTCAATAAATGCATTTAGTACCAGAGAATGCACACATGAATATTTTGTACGCTACGTAAATTTGCACATCTGAACAGTAAGTTACAGATGGTATGGATGTATTTTTCATATTATATTCAATTTAGAAGATGTGGTATCAATATCGTCATAATTGATAAGATAGATGCTCGGCATTATTGTGCGTAACATGGATGATTTAATTGAAGTTCTCATCAAAGAATAACTTGTGACTTTCTATTCTTTAGATTGGAGAGGGTGGATGAGAGTCGAATTTTGACCCTAGACAGTATACGACACTCTCTGATACGCCAAGAAGATAGCATTATTTTTGGCCTTCTTGAGAGAGCCCAATACTGTTTCAATGCTGATACCTATGGCCAAAATGTATTCACCAAGGATGGCTCCTTAGTTGAATTTATGGTCAGGGAGACTGAGAAGCTTCATGCACAGGTAAATCAAACATAAAAAAAAAATCTCAAGTTGAAATATTTTATTCTTCCCGATCCAATATACGTATTTTGTATTGTATCTCAGGTCGGAAGATACAAAAGTCCTGATGAACATCCCTTTTTCCCGGAGGATCTCCCTGAGCCAATGCTACCACCTATACAATATCCAAAGGTAGATTTTAGTGAATGGACAAAGAATTGCACTTTGTAATACCAGATTCATCCTTCATTCATAAATGATTTAATTTGTTGGATATTCGTGTTAGGAAATGCTTTAAAAGGTGCTTCTGCTATGATTAAGCTTGTATATACATAAAGTTGATATCAAGCTTCATTAGCCTCTGATAGGATTAGGGGATGAATAGTAAGAAGATCAACTACTAGATGATAATGTGGCAATTCTTGTGAATGCAACATAAATGATTTTGCAAGAACCAAAAGGGAAAACAGTACTCTTTCCACACAAGATAAGCGCTATGTTACTATCTTAATTACAACCTAACTATTTTATAATGGCTTGTTCACTTCTCTGACTTTGCATTATTGCTGATGATTGTATTGAGACATGTGTATGAGCTTAAGAGGTTTCACTTTGTTTTCGTTCCAGGTTTTGCACCCAATTGCTGACTCAATAAATATAAACAAGAAGATATGGGAAATGTACTTCGGTAGGCTCCTGCCGAGGTTAGTTAAAGAAGGAGATGATGGAAACTGTGGTTCATCTGCTGTTTGTGACACCATATGCTTACAGGTGAGCATTTTTTTCATTTTTAGTGGTCCTATTGTTAAAAGTTCATCAGTTAAGTTGCCATTGAAAAACTTCAACTTTCTCTTGAAAAGGTTAAAATTCTCTTACTGGAACCTTGTTTATCCCTTCTTTGAGTAGATTACTTCTCTTTGTAACACTGCTTTTGCAGCTTCAGATATTAGAAAGTTTGTGCTTTTTATCTTCATAGTCTTGTTTAGGCTCTGGTTTGATTGGCTTTTACAGCATATGTACATACTTCGGTAAATGCATTGTTTCTTGAACCAAATAATAAATGAAAATGAACCAATTTATTGCATTTACCCATATAAACTGCAGAGTGATAGTCTTGTGACATTTTAGGGAAAGTGAACAATTATACCTACAAGTGTCATAGATTTAAAAAATTTTGGGTGAGGAAGGTGAGCTTTACAAGCTTATGACTAGAGCAAGGGAGGTTGTCTTCAAATTTTATTTCGAATATTTGTGAAAGGGTTTTCCAAATGAGGTAGGTATTTTCCTCACACATACGGGTGAAGGCTAACAAACCTGTTTTGTTTCGACCAAAATTTGAGGTTTGGGTTCAAAAGTCTCAACTTAGGTGGTTATATAAAGTCCATTTCTTAATTTCATCTTGGTATGGTTATCGGAGGATGCGATCTTAATCACCACGTAAACTGATAGACTAAGTATATTTTATATGTAAATCTTCTCATACATATTGTTGTTCAAATGGTTGTTACTAGTCACATAAATCTGCATCAATGGGAGCCCCTTTTTTAATTATAGTCATAAAGTTGATTTATCATTACTGAAATATTTTATATCTCTTTTTCACTACTTCAACATGACTGGTTACATAATATAAAATAACCAGTAATTTTTATGGTAGAGTATTATATTATTTTTATATCTACAATATCCGACATGCTTCTTGGGGGAGTAAAAACAATTTAGCAATAAGAGTCGAGTAGCTTAATAAGTTGTAGGAACTGGTTAATATGAACTTAATTATTACGATGATTGTTATTTTAGACTTATCCAATCTCAAGACACAGCCTGCCATAACAAGGGAAACATGGAAAGAAATAGCATCCTGCAGTCTTATTTCATTCTTTCCTCAATAGGGTTAAATTGCGCCCAGTTGATGATTGAGTTCCTGTCGTTCTATTGCTGCGGGTAGACCCCCTGAATGAGTTTTTTTTATTACTCTTTTACAGTCAAAAGATCTATTAGTCGAAAAAACAATTTTCTCTTTTTGAGGGTAAAAGAGTCAAAAAAAAACTTTACTCAGGGGTCGATCTGTAACATTTGAACTATAGTTTTCTTTCTGCAATTGGGCGATAGTATAGGGGGAACCCTTTTTTTAATATAATGTGTCTGTATATGTTACTAATCTACAAAATCTGTGATGGAGCCATGTGCATTTTACAACAGTTCTAGACCTTCGTTTTCTGTCTATTTTTTGGTTGCTCTGATACCTCCTGGCTGAGTTTTTTCCCACCTTTTGTTATCTTTTGGAATAAGATTCTTTTGGAATAAGATTTAACGTCTTTACTTTGCCATTCGCAAACTCCGTACCATGTGCAGGCTCTATCCAAGAGAATACATTATGGCAAATTCGTAGCAGAGGCAAAATTCCAAGAAGCCCCCGATGTCTATCAACCTGCAATAAGAGCACAAGTATATGAATTCTTCTTTCATTTTTCTCTCAATACGCATTGTTGCATATTATTCTAATATCAGCATTCCTCATTCTTTGGCTACAGGATGGCGATCAACTCATGAGGTTACTAACATATGAATCAGTAGAAGCTGCAATTACGCAGAGAGTTGAGGCAAAGGCCAAAGCATATGGCCAGGAGGTGACAATTGGTGATCAGAGTCAGAAAAATGAGAACTCTGCCGCCTATAAAATCAAGCCGAAGTTAGTAGCTGATCTCTATGGGAAGTGGATTATGCCACTGACAAAGGAAGTGCAGGTTGCATATTTGCTAAGAAGATTGGATTGAAAATTATGCAGATATATTGGTGAATGCAATGCATTTATAAGATTGGGGATGGTTATGTTGCTCTCATATGTTCATACACTTGGTTAAAGTTAGGATCTGAGTCAAGATTAGATTGATCTTGGGCTGTTGTTGGATCCGGCATATCTGACAATTTCATGTTAAAAGAAGAAAAGGATAATGAAGGTGTGAATTGAAGCCAATACTGGATTAGCTATGAAAATGAATGGAAATAGTTTTTTTTTCCTGTCTATGTATGAGATTTCACGTGTATACGGGATGATTATTACATAATTCACAAGTCTACGTATGAGATTTCACGTGTATACACCGTTATTATTACATAATTCACAAGTCTATGATCGTGTATTGCCATGCTAATATGTTTTTCCTTGTTGAGAGTAAAAGATTGTTTAGTTAAAACACTTTTTTAGATGGTTCTACTTCAGGTGCAATTAATAATCAGTTTCCCATAACCATGTTTGATTTTGTGAGAGTAAAGATTCTATCAGAACATCCTATAGAATAAACTATATCATTCACGGGTGGTTATAGGTTAGTTTGAAGACATCCTATAGAATAAACTATATCATTCACGGGTGGTTATAGGTTAGTTTGAAGATTATGTTTGTTCTCTCCATGGTGTATGCCCCACTCGTGTATATGGATGGTTCTGATAGGATTTCTACAGATTTTGTGACAGTAATAGGAATTGCTTCTATTGCCTCAATATTGTGATGTGTGTGGGCGCAAAGGCTCTTTTATTATCTTCTCCTCTTGTTTATGTTTACCACAAATTAACCAAAATTTTAAACTTTTACAGGTGTTGATCATAATCATCTCTTTTAAGTTCGCTCTTTTATATTTCTTTTAACGTGGGTATTACTCATGTATGAATTCCCAATGTTAGTTACTTAGAATACCTTGTTCAAACAAATATAATTTGGCTTTGTACAAATAGAATATTACAACACGGACATGTGAAAAACTGTGAAGAGTTCCATCATCGATCATTCGTGTAAATGGGTGTAGATTTGTTGTTTGGTTTATGATTTAACCCAAAAGAATTGTGGTTAAGCCCACCTACAAGGTTTGAGACGATACTATATTCGTTCGAAAATTAAATTTTAAGTATCCACTTATTTACCATCCTATTTGGATCCTGTTCATTATTATTTTGGAAATAGATAATTACTTATTTTAATCATAGTCATAATTTTTTATCTGAATGATTGATATTTATTTCTAATATAGAAGATCATATCTCCCATAACTATATTCATATTTCAATATGCAACTATTAAATGATAGATGATAAGATTAGAATAAGTGTTCTATTCATTGTCTAGCCATAGTGAAGAAAATCCTAAATCATCAATTTAGCATCAAACCTCATAATTACGTCCATAGTCTCCTCTACCCTACTTTGTTTACATCTCTCCCTCTGCAAAACGAGGGATTCGGATCCTCTTTGAAGTCAGGAAATCATGTAACATATTTGTTTAATCATAACCGTTAATTATTTAACGGATGGTTATGGTTTATTTTGAACAGCGTAAATCATGATTAACAAATGGTTATGACTAAAACTAGACTCTTTTGAGAGTAAGGAAAAATCTAAAGCCTCCCTCCGAACCGAATCCGATCTCTTCAAACTAAAGTTTACCCATAACAGCCACATAAATCAATGCGTCAAAGCCTTTTCTCCTTTCACCCCCAACAACTAACATTATCTACAAATGAGTTAATTGAAAGTAGGAAAGGAAAGTTTTATAGTTTCAAACCTCGGTCTCGATCAAAATCTTCACGCGGGTGTCAATCGATCAAAATCTTCAAGGAAAAGTATTTTGTAGATGATCACCGCAGTCGGTCCGCTCTGCAACAAAACTAGGGGTGGCAAACGGGTCGGGTCGGGTCGGGTCATAGTTGAGAGAATTTTAAAACGATCTTTTGATGAAAGTTTGATTTACATCATCATCACGAAAGAAATATTTTTCCAATCATATAAACTAATCAATTGTATATATCTATTAGAAAGCAAGACCCCTTGTGCCAATTGCACATAACCCGAGTATGTTATCTACTTAATGAACTAACTTCCCTAAGCTTTTGTCCATTTGAAACGTTACCTTCAAAATGCAAGATCCAACATGACTACTTAATTACCTTCAGACCGTCGGAAGGGACAAAGGTCATGTGGTATAGATAATGATAATAATAATAATCACCATCATAATAATAAACAACCTCATCCCTATTCATTAATTTAAGTGTTCTAACTTACCCAACGATACCATTTTTAAAGGTTAATTTCACATAACCTGATTGAACTTTGTAGAGTGTTGCATATAACTCTTCTGAATTTTGTTTGTCTCGCTTAACCTTTCTGAGCTTTGAGATGCCTCACAAAACCCTCATGAAATTTTAACTTTATTTCACTTGAGCCCCTCGTATATAATTTGCAAATAAATAAAATGTATTGAGAGATAAAAATTTAACACTTTGTCATTTGTCAATAGGCAACCTGCCACCTCAACTAAAATTTGGTTTTTTTTCTCTCTCTAGAAAAATTAAGTTATTTGTCAGGTACTTACAGGCGTCCGTTGAAAAAAAATTCAAAGATCGAAGGTCTTTGCCGAGACATCTCAAAGATCAGAGGGGTTATATGATATAAATAAAGTTCAGAGGGATTACGTACAATACCCCGCCAACTTAAAGGGGGATTTTTGTAAAATTAGCCACATTTTAAAACCGCGTCCCGGTACGAAGATCGCTCCGAGACTGGTTTCCCCGTTCCCTAAATGCGATTCCTCTACAGCACTCTAGGCACATGGGGACAGCTAGACAGTTGGGCCCCACTCCAAATTACTAATTTGCCACCCTTCCCCCAATGTAATTACAAATTTGCCACCCCATGTGCGTCCAACGCCGAGAACTTACGGACCCGACCTCAATAAATTCGCGAAACTGCGGAGCACAAACCGACCTTTATCCCCCAACCCACCGCAGCCCACAGCCGCGACGATGCGAGCTCGACCCGGCCGCCCACCTTAGCCTCACCTGGGCCCTCCTGCTAGCGTCGCGCCGCAGCGCCGCTTCGTCGCCGCCAAGAAGTTCCACCGTCGGCGACGCCCAAGCCTGGAACCCTAACGTCAACTACACTACCTGGGTCGAAAAGCACAAGCCCTTCTACAAGGGCGACTGGCTCGGTCAGGAAAAAATTTCTCCTTTTTATTTTAATTAATTTATTTATTTTCTCAAAATTTCCCTTTCAGATCTAGGTTTTGGTAGTTTCATACCTCCATGCTGTTTCGAAATTTTCTCGCCTAAACGAAACATGCTCGCATGCGTGCGAACTGAGGAGCGCACGCTAAACAGAAAAGGTACTGACGATGTTGTTGCAAATACATTTGTTGTTGTTTCCAGTGTTCTATTATACGCCGGGGATGGCGGACGTGGTCCGAGTGGACGAGGCGGCGTACAACAAGTG